TAAATCGTATAAATCGTATAAATCGTATAAATGGTATAAATCGTATAAATCGTATAAATCGTATAAATCGTATAAATCGTATAAATCGTATAAATCGTATAAATCGTATAAATCGTATAATCGTATAAATCGTATAAATCGTATAAATCGTATAAATCGTATAAATCGTATAAATCGTATAAATCGTATAAATCGTATAAATCGTATAAATCGTATAAATCGTATAAATCGTATAAATCGTATACGTATAAATCGTATAATGTATAATCGTATAATCGTATAAATTGTATAAATTGTATAAATTGTATAAATTGTATAAATTGTATAAATTGTATAAATTGTATAAATTGTATAAATTGTATAAATTGTATAAATTGTATAAATTGTATAAATTGTATAAATTGTATAAATTGTATAAATTGTATAAATTGTATAAATTGTATAAATTGTATAAATTGTATAAATTGTATAAATTGTATAAATTGTATAAATTGTATAAATTGTATAAATTGTATAAATTGTATAAATTGTATAAATTGTATAAATTGTATAAATTGTATAAATTGTATAAATTGTATAAATTGTATAAATTGTATAAATTGTATAAATTGTATAAATTGTATAAATTGTATAAATTGTATAAATTGTATAAATTGTATAAATTGTATAAATTGTATAAGTTGTATAAATTGTATAAGTTGTATAAATTGTATAAATTGTATAATTGTATAAATTGTATAATTGTATAAATTGTATAAATTGTATAAATTGTATAAATTGTATAAATTGTATAAATTGTATAAATTGTATAAATTGTATAAATTGTATAAATTGTATAAATTGTATAAATTGTATAAATTGTATAAATTGTATAAATTGTATAAATTGTATAAATTGTATAAATTGTATAAATTGTATAAATTGTATAAATTGTATAAATTGTATAAATTGTATAAATTGTATAAATTGTATAAATTGTATAAATTGTATAAATTGTATAAATTGTATAAATTGTATAAATTGTATAAATTGTATAAATTGTATAAATTGTATAAATTGTATAAATTGTATAAATTGTATAAATTGTATAAATTGTATACAATGTATACATTGTATACTTTCTATAAATTGTATGTATTGTATACGTTGTGTACGTTGTATACATCGTATATAGTCGAAATCACGAAAGATGACGATGACGTCATCATTTTAGTATGTAGTAAAGACAAACGACAGCGATTTGTGAATATTTTTAATGAAGTTTCAGATATGTTAGACAGAGACAAACATAATTTTATTGTCTAAACAAACTGTATTGCTAATTTGCATGTATCCGACAAAGATAGACGATGTTTTCATGTCGCATGATCGATCATATTTGGAAGATGAATAGTTATGTTATGCTAAAGCAGGTTAGGTTGTTTTCGAATAATACTTTGGTCTTTGGTGTACCTGTCTTAAGGTATTCTGCTCACAACTTTTTTTTCAAACCAAAAACTCCCCACTAAAATTATTATTAAGGTATCACTCAAAACCATGAAGTCAAATGGAAATAAAAATGATCAGTGACACAACCTAACTTCGCAAAATCATAATATAAATCTGTTGTCATTAACTTACTGACATCGTGATTCTATCAGCGACGTACGTCCATTGATTACTTCAGTACAATTTATGATGTGACGTAATAGTCATCTTTCGTGATTTTGACTATACATTGTATACAAACGTAGGCAATCAATGTATACGTATACGCGTAAACGCCCATCACCGGCCACCTTTCATTTGTGATAAGGAAAGTGTATAAATGGAAACAATTAAACTCACTTTCTTTCCCGTTCCTTCCTCTGCAGTTTCTTCCTCTTGAAGGCCTTTTTCACTCTAAGCAGCAAAAAAGCGGCACGATCAATCGTGAGCGCCGAGTATTGTTTCTTTTCCTCCATTTTGTTGGCGCTCGACGACCCACAAAACCAGATTATTCAATCAGGGTTCAGGTCAACTGGCGTTCTTCGGGTGAAGTGACCTGCAATGAATGTTTATTTTATTATTGACATTGCATTCCAAATTCGACCCGCTGCCCAGTTTAAATATTTAACTCGCTGAGGGTGCGAAAAGGTTTCTTTGGAATTTGCGTTAATATAGCCACAGTATATACAGTAGGAGACATCAATGCAAGTTTTGGCAATGTAAGGGTTCACGTGTCGCAAAACCGTGCACACGTCTTATTATGCAGTTCCAGGGTTGCCAGGCTTTGCAAATTGTCTCTAAATGGCGTTTTTTTCGATTTTGCGACTGGAGACTTTTTTGGCGATTTCCAAGAATATTTTCGTTCGAAATGTTTTCACATCTGAGAATGAAGTTCAGTTTTTACGTATATATATAGGGTGATTTATCTAAACACGCCAAATCTTTAATATATAACATATCTCAGGCACTATTGACATGATGTTGTTGAAAGTATGCACGATAACAAAATCACCTAGGGGTAACTTAAAACAAGAGGACGGTTAAAAATCCAGTGCCGGACTCAATGTTTTCCATTTTCATGTTCATTAGCAAAAGCAACAGCTTTTAGGCTGGATCTTGACATGTTTGACTATGTACAAAAAAGCTAATTAAGTAGTGAAATAGATTACAACGAATGTTTATTTTATTATTGACATTGCATTCCAAATTCGATCCGCTGGCCGGTTTAAATATTTAACTCGCTGACGGTGTGAAAAGGTTTCTTTGCAATTTGCGTTAATATAGCCACAGTATATACAATAGGAGACATCATTGCAAGTCTTGGCAATCTGAGGGTTCACGTATCGCAAAACCGAGCACATGTCTTATTATGCAGTTCCAGGGTTGCCAGGCTTTGCGAATTGTCTCCAATTGACGGATACTTGATATGCTGTGGCTATAGTTTTTTCGATTTTGCGACTGGAGATTTTTTTGGCGATTTCCAAGAATATTTTCGTTCGAAATGTTTTCAGATCTGAGAATGAAGTTCAGTTTTTACGTATATATGGGGTGATTTATCTAAACACGCCAAATCTTTAATATAACATATCTCAGGCACTATTGACATGATGTTGTTGAAAGTATGCACGATAACAAAATCACCTAGGGGTAACTTGAAACAACAGGAAGGTAAAAAATCCAGTGCCGGACTCGATGTTTTCCATTTTCATGTTTATTAGCAAAAGCAACAGCTTTTAGGCTGGATCTTGAAATGTTTGACTATGTACAAAAAAGCTAATTAAGTAGTGATATAGATTACAACGAATGTTTATTTTATCATTGAAATTGCATTCCAAATTCGATCCGCTGGCCAGTTTAAATATTTAACTCGCTTTAACTCCATTTTTTTTTTAAATAAACGCTCAGGCTATGCGAAATTCTATAAAAGCAATTTATTTTCTTGGATATTTTTGAAATAATAGTATAATTAAATATATAATATTAAATATAATAAATTAAGTAATATTGATAGTGCCCTTCAAATTTCAATTTACTATCTACGTATATGCCCAAATATTTAAATGATTCGATTGACAGAATTTTTTCATGATTACTTGTAAGATTTATCGTATTTTGATCTAAAGATTTTCCTATTAGCATATATTTTGTTTTGTTTGCGTTTAGTTTAAGTTGATTTACATTTAACCAATTTATTACGTTTTTCATATCATTATTTAACCGCTCTATTGAAGTTTCAATATCTTTATTTGATATATATATATATATATATACAGGGTGTCCGCAAAGTTGGGGTTTTCCTTTTCAGAAACAACTAAGTACCCTTGAAATAACAAAGGTAATGTGTAGTGAAACGAGGGCGACCAATTAAAAAAAAATAAAGGAAAAAGTACTCACTCTCCAGTTGACGAGAAGGGCTAAGTACGTCTCTGCCCGAAATCATACCGCTCCAACAGAAAATGAAATCAGCTGATGCGCTACCGAGCAGACGCAGAAACCACATTGATTGTCTTACAGTTAATGGCGCATCTTCTAACAAGGAAGGCAAAATGTTGCGTAAAAAGTCTAGGTCTAGGTTCACCATGCCAGCCCAAACATTCACCGAAAATGTTTGTTGAAAATGTGTCCGACGGACAGCGTGCGGATTTTCTACTCACCAAACATGAGTGTTGCGAAAGTTATTCACCCCATTACGCGTGAACGTAGATTCATCTGTCACCAATATGCACTTCAAAAAGTCCGGATTATTGTCATGTTGACGCAACAACCACAATCACAAAACCGCACTCTTGCTGGAAAATCGTCAGGTTTACGGGCTTGTACACGTTGGACGTGAAACGGATACTGCTCCTCTTCACGCAGCGTTTCCACACTTTAGTTTTTGATACTTGCACTTCTCTAGCCACGTCTCTAGTGCTTGTTGTTTTTTGAAACGCAATCGATTATACGGGTTCGTTTACCTCTACACGCGTGACCGTAACCGTCTGTTGAAGATTGCATACTGACCTGACACACTAACCCCGACTCAGTTCTGTCGTCGGGTTGAGCCAGTGACCTTGTACCACTCGGTGATGTCGCAAGTCGCGGCTACAGGACGGTATTCAGATATTTTTGATGTTGCAGAGCCCTTTATCTCGGTTCCCTTAAGACATTGGTGTATATGGTACTAAGAAAAATTGTTTATGTTTTCAAGATCTACACGTCGTGTAAAGGAAAACCCCAACTTTGCGGACACCCTGTATATATATATATATATATATATATATATATATATATATATATATATATAGTATCCTTGTGCTTGAACTTCCTACATTTGTGTGTAATATGTAAGATATTGTGTATTTTTGATATTTGGACTTTGTCCTACTCTGCAATTGGCTTTGTAGCTGTTGTATAATAAATAAATAAAAATAAATAAAATAAATTGTCTTCACTGCCAGAATTTCTTTATACCGGACTCGTAGCATGATACTTAGCTGTAAGTCGTCATTTCTCTGTTGATCACTCAAAAATATAGCTCACGAGAAGTCACGTCACCGACTTCAGCCATTATTTTGACGTTTCAAGTTGACGTATCTTGAACCACCAAAATTCGCCTGTTGTGGGGGCACAATCGCTTAATGAGTATCCGGGAACGCCTAGAACAAGCATACGAAAATGCGGCATTCGGGGCGGACGAAACCTGGAGCAGCGGATTCCACAGCCTGCAACGACCCAACATGGACCTTCTGCTGAGAGAGAGACAAATCAAAGATGCCTTCGACGGGGTGCCTCATCCGAGAGCGGTCAACGACTGCATACCCGGAAGTAAGCTAGCCACGTACTTCGACTATTCTTACAGTCCCTCGAGAGAACTCTCCTACGCAGGAAATTTCATACACCACGACTGTGCACCTCAAAGCCTCGAACATGATATATCCAAGGACCCTTGGATGTCGGAGATTGTCGAGCATAACCTCATGGAACATCTGACCCCTATCGAAGCTGATAGGAAGAGCTTTCAAACGAAACCTCAACTGGAATCGCCATTTTTAAAAGTAGGTTATTTCCTAGAGCATTTTATAAGGATAGCATTAGATAGTAAAGCAGTAAAACGATTGTGGGAGACGAATAACTTGGACAAAAGAAGCTTTATGTATTGCACACCATCCCCTAGACCCGGTAAAAGTCTCGTCGTCTACAAACCTCCTATGGGCGAAGTTCTTGTTAGAGAACACGATAACGACAGTCTGTCACTCGAAGACACCAAAAAAGCATACGAAAAGGATGAAAATCATCTCAAACTTGTAGAATCATCTTGGAAACAACATCAGGAGCAGCAAGAGATCCACAGTAACGAAACCCAGACCATAGCATGCACCAATGATAGCTCGCAGAGTAAAAGGCTGTACTCTGCGGTACTGCAAGGGTATTCCTCAAACAAAGATGCACCTCCGCCTCCTGAATGCCAAATGACCATACTGAAAAGAACTGTTCCTAAAAAAGACAGAACTGTAGATAGCACGAGTAACATTGAAAAGAAGAAACCTGAATCTAGCACAAAGTCAGCAGAATATGTTCCAGTTTGGAGGCAAAGCGAACAAACAAAAGCGCTCAAGGTTTCAAATCAAACCACGCTGGTACGAAGCACCCCAGCTTTTACACCGACGACATCAAGTGAAGGTGTAGCAAGTAGTAGTCGAGTCTTGGCAGCGGCTAGTCATCTGATCCCGCAAATCAACGCAGCCAGGTTATTGGCTAGTGCGTTCGTATCTGCTTCGCAAGTAGGCGCCGTTTCTCCTCTAGCAGTAAGACAAAGAGTGATTCTTATTGCATTTATGCTAATCAAAACTACTTTTCAGCCTCAGAGTCTCTTGCGTTTGTGTCATCCGGCGCTCGTACGAAGACCTATTCAGAATGCTGTCACCACGAGGCAGGCGATACCTCGGCGCGCCGCATCCAACATTTTAGCACAGAACCAGTTTCAACCGTCCACGAGTCACCAACGTACGTTTAAGCCCAAAGCGAAAACGAAACGTCACATTGGATGTTTGAAAAAGATAAATCCTAGTGCAACAGGTACCGTAAAGAAAAACACGAAGGTAGATGTAGGGACCAACAACCACGCTAGTAGAAACGGAGCGACATCTGGCGACGTAGAACGAGAACTAGATGAGCTAGTCTTACGAGTAGTAGAGTTTGTTTTGAGTGAGCCTGAATCAGAGAATGTTTTTCCAGTAACTGGCAGTCTATCAGACGAATTGGAACGTCAAGCTTTGGAGCAGTATAGTAACTCCAATGATAACGTGTTCCAGGAGCTAGAGCGGCAAGCCGTTGAAGAGTATGAAGGCTGTTCGGAAAACTGCAAAAGCCCCCCGAATTGTAAGGGTTTGTTCGGGGGGTTTTTTAACATTAACTTTTTTATTCTTTAAATGATAGGTGTTTTTAAACAGACATTTTTAAGGATGAAAATTTTGTGAAAACCAAAAGATGTACGTCTAAAACATTACACGAATAATCACAGGTCAAACGTTGTTGTGTGCAAGTTTTTATGTATGTTTCGAATAAAAATGGCTCCAAAACATTAAAAAACATCATTTATTCATGGTAGCAGCATTTAATTGATTCTACTTGAAAACTACTTTTTGCAGTTTTTCGTCCGTTTCCGATTTCAAAATTAGTTTATAACTTGTACATAAATGTGTTTATGGGTCGATTATCGTCATTAAAAATAGTAATCGATATGGAGATTTTTTCAAACAACGCTTTAAAGAACTCCAAGACTTTCAGACTGAGCATAGTATGGAGCTACAGGCAGTTAGACTGGTGGAGCATGTAACCAGGGGGTTTACCCTGAACAAAAGTACTGGTACCTTGCTTTTAGATGTATCAAAGGCATTTGACAAGGTGTGGCACATGGGCCTCTTGTATAAGCTCATCCAAAAGGGTTTTCCATTTTGGCTACTAAAACTGTTGAAATCTTTTTTAGAAGGAAAGAAGTTTCGGATCAAAATTAACAGTGTGTTGTCAACAACACGGCCCGGCCTGTAAGAGCCGGTGTTCCTCAGGGTTCGGTCTTAGGACCAATGCTTTATTCACTTTATATACATGACGTCCCTTGCCCCAGCAACTGTGAAGCCTATCTCTATGCTGACGACACTGCACTGCCGGCCCAGTCTTGTTCTGGTAACCTGGTTTACGACAGGCTGCAGAGTGCGGTGGAGGAAATATTAGAGTGGGCGGATCGGTGGTTGATCAAAATTGAAACTTCGAAAACGCAGGCAATCTATTGTATTAAATAACGTCGCGGTGCCCCCTCAGAGATATCAGTGAATGGAACTCGTATACCATGGGAGCAATCTGTCAGGTAGCTTGACAAGCGGTTGACCTGGCAGAAACATACTGATATTTTGAAAATATAATTCCAAATTACCTTTCGGCAGCTTGTGCAGAATCTCAAAATTAAGTTTGATCAACAAGATTCGGTTGTATACAATGGTCATTAGACCCGCAATCACCTACGCATGCGAGGCTTGGTGTTTTCATGTCAAGACGCACATGCAGGGACTGCAAGTCCAGCAAAACAGAAACCTACGCACAATTACTAACGCTCCTTGGTACGTGTCAAATGAGACCATTCACAGAGATCTTTATATCCCATATCTAAGGGATTATGTAAAACAACAGGCGCAGCGGCGTTATAATCAAGCCGAATCGCACAGCAACCCTCTGTTGCGTGATTCAGTGGACTACACAGTCGAGCAAGTTCGTAAACATTACAGCCCGCGCCTCGCGCTGTGATCAGAATTATATGGTAAATTCAGACCAGCCAAAATTATTTCAGTATACAAAACCGATCAAAATTATTTTTTGGAGCTACAAAATAATTCGAGTAGTCTTAGCAATAATGCTTAAGCTATTTCAAATGATTTACTTCTTTTCTTTGCTCTATTTATTCCTTCCTTTCTTTCCTTCTTTCCCTTTTCCCCTTAAATACGCTTGGTATCTGGGTAGCCAGACCTGACAGACAAACAGACCGACGAGACGTTTAACTAAGAGCAAAGGTCCACCGGATCGCTCTGATGAATAATGACGAAATATACTAAGTGACATATAAATCCGAACACCCAGTTTAAATGGTTTTATTTTAATAAAAGTTGGTGAATGTATTTATCTTACTGTAAATAACAAGTGAAAAAATTTTCAGCCTTATCAGTTGGACATTCCGGTTATTATACTGCTTTTTTTTAATTCACTAACGCTCTAAAAATGAATATTTCAGCCGCAGTAAAGAATCAACGTTGGCGGATTTTGGTTCTTGACATCCTTTACGATCGATTACGATGCCTAAAGTACGGAGATCTGTACGATTTCGTCAACTTAGTGAGTTTGATAGGGGCCGTATAGTGGGACGCCGCCGTAGAACAACAGACCGTGAAGATCGCCGCCTAAGATTATTGGCCTTAAGGGACCGTTTCTCCACTACCAGGTCCATTGCAAATGAATGGTTTGCAGAACACGGAAGACCTATTGGCATGCGAAGTGTTTACCGACGAATGAGAAGTTTTTGCTTGTTTTCATACCGGCCACACTGGGTCCTCCCTTTAACTCGAGAACACCGACGTAATCGCCTTGAGTGGTGCAGACAACGGTCACTCTGGGATCAGGAATGGAACAGTATTGTATATAGTGACGAGTCTTGATTTTGCTTAGGCATGCACGATGGTCGTGCCAGGGTTAGAAGGCGACGTGGTGAAAGGAGGAATCCACAGTTTTTTGTTGAAAGACATGTTCATCACACTGTTGGAGTTATGGTTTGGGGTGCTATAGCTTATGGTTCCAGGTCACCTTTAATCTTCATCAGAGGTAACATGAACGCGCAGCGTTATATCCACGAAGTTCTAGAACCCCATCTTTTACCCTATCTTGACACCCTGGCAGATCCAACTTTCCAACAAGATAATGCCCGACCACATGTTGCAAGAGTCACAATAGACTTCTTTCAACATAATGATTCCACATTGTTACCATACCATCTCCCGACTTATCCCCAATTGAGCACGTGTGGGATATGATGGGTAGGAGATTGCTCAATTTGCAACGTCCTCCTCAGACTCTAGAAGCACTTCGAGAGGAGTTGGTGGTTGCCTGGAATGAGATACCACAGGAGGACATTGACCACCTGATCAGAAGCATGCCTAGACGCGTTGGAGAATGCGTAGCACATCAGGGTGCATCCACACATTATTAAAGGTCAAAGGGCTTTAAAGCAGTGCAATCATTTTGAAAGTTTTATCATTTACTTATTGTGCTTCATTAAGTACTTATACAAAATTTTATTAAAATAAAACCATTTAAACTGGGTGTTCGGATTTATATGTCACTTAATATAGTATAGAACTCCAAGAATCACTTTTCAAGTAAATTCAAGCTTTGAAAAACATAGAAGCAACTAAGTCCCTGGACCATGTTTTTAAATGAACTATTTCAACATTTTTACATGTTGACTTTGAAATCTCCGTGACAACGTCCTCTATACAGGGTGTCCCGGTATTATATGGACACAGAAGTACCACGTATTTTCAGACTCGAAACAGGCTGATTACACATTTACCTCTATGCAAAAGTGCTTTGTTTGTTCATTAGAGGGATCCGAGGTTTTTTTTAAAAACACATTTTTTCCGATATTTTTGGAACCGATAGTCCGATTTTGATGAAACCTGAACACAGGTGCTTGGCTAGACGTACTAGTATTTGACTTTTCATCAAGAAGGATGAAAACTACCCCCATCACTACATAGAATATAGCAGAATCTTTTCGCGACTCTTCCAAGGACTCAAGGAGTTTTTTTAACTTACTTCATTTTTTTTTTTATAAAACCAGCCATCTCGCATAGTTTTCAGAAAATATTGTTCTTCGGAAAAGGTTTCTGAAAAAAATTCTTTTTTCTGTGATGGGAAAAAAGATTGACATTTTACTTCTATTGACAGGTAACAAAATGTCAATTTTTATAAAATTACTTTTTTCTCCGGGAAAAAAATGAGTACTTTTGTCCCGGATATTGTATAAACACATAAGCAAAGGTAGATATTTAACTTCAGATTATTTTATTATACAACAAGGCAACATTTCCTTACAATTACTAAATGTGCATTGCATGAATGACGCGTTCCTTAAGCTATTCGGTACAACAGTCGAATTTTCTTGTGTTGAAATTATATGTTTTTCACACATTCTAAACGCTTTATTAGCTATTTCTGTAATGTGTGCTACCGAATCATCAACATACTCTTTGGCGGCCCAAACCCAAACAACAACTAAACGTAAGACAAGTACAAAAAAGGGTGCTAGTCCATGAACTGGTGATTGCGGCCCAATACCACAAAATTTGGAAACCAAATGAGGACCCACACACCGTAACCAAAACTTCAACAGGAAAAATGTCAGATAATCAGTTGACAATCAATGTCAAAAGTAGGAGGGCGCTGGTTGCCTAGAAAACCAACTTTACGAGGGACCAGCGAAATTTCCGAGGTAGTCGCTAACAAAATATTATAATTAAGGTCCAGAAGAGTTCAACACAACACTGAGTCGCTAAGAAAGAAAGATGTATGTGTATACTATCAGGATCAATAAATTATGAAATTTGTCAAAAGAAAATCATTGAAAAGGGTTTGGTCTAGGAATCAGTACTGTATTATTAGTAAAAATAAATTCAAATTACTGGAAAGTGATCAAAATAGTAAAAAACAAGGTTATGTACGACCGCTCCGTGATTTCCAGCGTTGTCGAGATTGTGGAACCATCTACACGAGGAGCAGGTCTGCTAATCTTAGGCAGTTTAAAGTTGGGATTAACAAAGTTTCTTTGAGCTCCTCATAGCAGCCGTGGTGTCCTGGAATTTAGGCTTCTTCCTACGCCCCTATACAGGGTGTTTCAATTTATTGTTGCATAACTTTAAGATTCCATAGAACTTTTAAAATTAATGCATAAAGTCTATATAAACATGGGTCGAAAAATGCGTGGCTTCCGAAATTTACTTTCTAAAATAGTTTTTTTAAAATATTTCGAACAATATTTGATGTATTACAGTGAAAATTGGTATACAAGAGTTTTTTGGTACGACAAACCGAACCATGGGCATAGTTTTACTGTAGCCGCTAGAGGGCGCTCTCAACTGTACCTGTAGTGTATTAAAATGATTGAAAACTTTTTCATAGTGAATAAAAATTGAATAAAAAAACTGATTCTTCGCACTTTTCAACATAAAAAAGCTCTCTTGTGAATTTTCGTTATAGTTGCCGTTTTTGAGATAATTCTATTTTTAAGGTTCGATGCATTTTTAATTATTTATGATAAAATAACGTTAAAAAGTCAGTATCTCGATAATTTTTAGAAGTAGGCTGTGCATGCAAATATTTTTGAAATTGAAAGCAGAATAAGGTTAAACGTCAATTAGTTGACAGTTAGTTTTGTTGTCTGTTGAAACCTGAAACTCTTTTTGCAATTGTGAATGCACGAAATTTAGTTTCTTTTACCTGTTTTTTTTTGTAAGTTTTATAAAAATGCCATTTTTATCCTCCAATCAAGAGTTAGCGG